ATAAAAGTTACACTTTAAGTTTCTATGGAAAAGCAGAAAAGAGGAAGAAGAATCCAGTTGTCTGATAAGGAAAGGTATGCAATGTTTTTCAAAAATGTGGGGCTCAAGCCGGGCACCGGTGGCTCACGTCTGTAATCCTAGCCACTCAGGAGGCTGAGATCTGAGGATCGCCATTCAAAGCCAGCCTGGGCAGGAAATTCCATGAGACTCTTATCTCCAATAAACCATTAGAAAAACAGAAGTGGCACTGTGGCTCAAGTGGTAGAGCGCCCACCATGAGCTGAAAAGCCCAGGGACAGCACCCAAGCCTAGAATTCAAGCCCCATGACTGACCAAAAAAAAAAAAAATGTGGTGCCCAAGGAACCAAATTACATGTAAAGGATTTTAACAATATTAAAAACATTTGTGGGGGCTGGAAAGGTGGCTCAGTGGTAGAGTGCTTGCCTTGTATGCATGAGGCCCTGGGTTCGATTCCTCAGCACCACATGAGCAGAAAAGGCTGGAAGTGGCACTGTGGCTCAAGTAGTAGAGTGCTAGCCTTTAGCTGAAGACCTCTGGGATAGCCCCCAGACCCAGAGTTCAAGCCCCACATAAAAAAAAAAATTGTGTTTCAAAGTATACAATCGAGAGGAAAAACACAACCCACAGAACAGAAGAAAAATCTGCTAACTATTCTTTTTTTGGGGGTGGGGGCTCCGGTTGTGGGGCCTGAACTCTGGGCCTGGGTGCTATCCCTCAGCTCTTCAGCTCAAGGCTAGCACTCTACCACTTGAGCCACAGCACCACTTCTGGCTTTTTTTCTTTTTGCTTATGTGGTGCTGAGGAATCAAACCCAGGGCCTCATGCATGCAAGGCAAGCGCTCTACCACTGAGCCACCTTCCCAGCCCATCTGCTAAATATTCTTATGAAATATCCTTTTATAGAAAAAGGACTTGTGTCCAGAATATATAAAGAACTCTTACCATTCAACAATAAAATAGAAATAGCTTCATGTACCAAGTGCTGATGATTCAACTCTGTAACCCTAGCTACTCAGAAGGCTGATATTTTGGTCGGTCGTGGGGCCTGAACTCTGAGCCTGGGCACTGTCCCTCAGCGCTTCAGCTGTAGACTAGCGCTCTACCACTTGAGCCCCACTTCTGGCTTTTTCTGCTTATGTGGTGCTGAGGAATCGAACCGAAGACCTCATGCATGCAAGGCAAGCACTCAACAACTGAGCCACCTTCCCAGCCAGGCTGATATCTTTTTTTTTTGGTTGGTCTTGGGGCTTGAACTCTGGGCCTGGGTGCTGTACCTCAGCTCTTCAGCTCAAGGCGAGTGCTCTACCACTTGAGCTACAGCGCCACATCCGGTTTTCTGGTGGTTTATTGGAGATAGGAGTCTCACAGTCTTTCCTGCTCGGGCTGGCTTTGAACCTTGATCCTCAGATATCAGCCTCCTGAGTAGCTAGGATTACAGGCATGAGCCACCAGCGCCCGGCCCAGCTGATATCTTATGAGTTCAGTTCCCTTAGCTTTTTCACTCAAGGCTGTTACTCTACCACTCAAGGACATATCTCTAATTTGGACTTTTTGCTGTTTTTTGTTTTGTTTTGTTTGTTTTTTTGGGTCCGGTCATGGGGCCTGAACTCTGGGCCTGGGCACTGTCCCTCAGCTCTTCAGCTCAAAGCTAGCCCCTTGAGCCACAGCACCACTTCCGGCTTTTTTTTATGTGGTGCTGAGGAATCAAACCCAGGGCCTCAGGCATGCAAGGCAAGTGCTCTACCACTGAGCCACCTTTCCAGCCTGTTGTTTTTTTGTTTTAAGAGTCTCAGGAGCCGGGCACTGGTGGCTTATGCCTGTAAATCTAGATACTCAGGAGGCTAAGATCAGAGGATTGTGATTCAAAGCCAGCCCAGGTAGAAAAGTCTGTGAGACTCTTATCTTCAGTTAACCACCAGAAAACCATAAGTGGATCTGTGGCTCAAGTGGTAGCCTTGAGCTGAAAAGTCTCACGGACAGTGCCCAGCCCCTGAGTTCAAGCCCTACAAGTAACAAAAAAAGAATCTCATGGACTTTGCTTTGTCTGGTTTTGAACCAAGTTCTGACTTCAACTTGATTTCCTTAGTGCTTCATCTTGGAAATTCTGTAAACACTTTGGGATACAGGTCGTGTGTGTGTGTGTGTGTGTGTGTGTGTGTGTGTGTGTGTGTGTGTGTGTGTATGTATGAATAATATATATATATATATATATATATATATATATAATTTCCCAGTATTTTCTCTCTGTGTAAAGCCAACTCAGTGGAGAAAGGATAGTCTTTTTCAGCAAGAAGTGTTGGAACAATTAAATATTTTTTTAGCAAAAACAGTTCACACCTAGCAGGACAGCTATTATTGTTTTTTTAAAAACCTAGGAGCCAGACATGGTGGCTCATGCCTATAATCCTAGCTACTCAGGAGGCTGAGATCTGAGGAAAACCAGAAATGCCACTGTGGCTCAAGTGGTAGAGCTCTTGCCTTGAGCCAAAGACCTCAGGGACAGTGCCCAGGCCCAGGGTTCAAGCCTGATTGAAAAAAAAAAAAAACCTACAAGTGTCTGGAAGAGACATGACCAACAAAAAGAAAGAAAGCAAGAAAGCAATGAAGGAAGGAAGGAAGGAAAGAAAGAGAGAGAGAGGGAGAAAGAAAAAATGAAAGAAAAGAAAAAGAATTAAATTCTAGCACAGGCTACAACATGGGTGAAGCTTGAAAATGAGCTAGCCACAAGAAAAGAAACATTGTAGGATCCGCCTCTTTTTGGGGGTAGTCAAGTTCATAGAATATGAGAATGATCACTGCCAGGGAAAGAGGAAAATGAGGAGTTGTTTAAGGGGTATATAGTTTCAGGATTTGCAGTGTGAAAATATTCTGGGAATTAGTTGCAAAACAATGTAAATAGACAACACTGCTGAACTGTAGACTTAAAAATGGTTTAGATTAAGCTGGGCGCTGGTGGCTCACGCCTGTAATCCTTGTTACTCAGGAGGCTGAGATCTGAGGATCAAAGTTAAAGCCAGCCCGGGCAGGAGAGATCGTGAGACTCCTATCTCCAATAAACCACCAGAAAACCAGACGTGGCGCTGTAGCTCAAGTGGTAGAGCACTCGCCCTGAGCTGAAGTGTGCAGGGACAGTGCCCAGGCCCAGAGTTCAAGCCCCAAGACCGACCAAAAATTTAAAAAAAATAATAATAATAAAAATAAATGGTTTAGATTGCTGGGTGCTGGTGGCTCACACCTATAATCCCAGCTACTTAGGGGCTGAGATCTGAGAATTGCAGTTCAAATCCAGCTCAGGCAGAAAAATCTGACTCCAATTAAGCACCAGAAAGCCGGAAGTGGAGCTATAGAGCTGTAGGTCAAAGTGGTAGAGCACTAGCTTTGAGCAAAAGAACTCAGGAGCGGTACCAAGGCCCTGAGTTCAAGCCCCATGGCAGACAAAACTAAAAGGCTGAGTTTGATGCCAGCCCAGGCAGGAAAGACTATGAAATTAATCTCCAATCAACTACCAATAAACCAGAAGTGGAGTGCTAGCCATGAGTAAAGAATCTCAAAGACAGGGCCCAGGCTCTAAATTCAAGCCACAGAATCAGCATCTAAATAAATAAATAATGTTTACCAAGTCCAGAGTTCAAGCTCCACAACCAACAACAACAAAAAAAATGTTTAGATGGTTGCTAGATGATTATTGTCTTCCTACCCTCCTTTTTTTTCCTGCTCTTCATTACTCTCAGACTAACTGGTAGGCAAAACAAATTTCCATTCACTGAATTTAGGAAGATGGACTTGTTACTTCCTATGCTCTCATTGAAATCCTTAGTTCCTTGATTTCTTCCAGGTCTTCCTTTACAAGTCCCTGCTTAAAATGTAAAGTGGGGAGAGGGAGCTGGGAAGGTGGTAGAGTGCTTGCCACACATGCATGAGGCCCTGGGCTCGATTCCCCAGCACTATTTAAGCAGAAAATGGCGCTGTGGCCCAAGTGGCAGAGTGCTCGCCTTGAGCTAAATAGCTGAGGGACAGCTCCCAGGCCCAGAGTTCAGGCCCCACGACCGACCAAAAAAATAGTCCAATAGTAACGTCTGTGTATTTGGACTCATTGAATTCAAACCCCAGTACTGCCAACATTAATTAAATTTATTTATTTTTGTCAGTCAAGGGGGCTGAACTCTGAGCCTGGGCACTGTCCCTCAGCACTTCAGCTCAAGGCTAGCGCTCTACCACTTGAGCCACAGCACCACTTGCAGCTTTTCTCTGCTTCTGCGGTGCTGAGGAATCGAACCCAGGACCTCACGCATGTGAGGCGAGCACTCCACCACTGAGCCACCTTCCCGGCCCCTTAAATTTGTTGTTAAGATGACATATCAGAGGTGTTTGATCTGTTCAGGTCATGGCAGGGTCCTTTTTGTTTTTGTGCCAGTCCTGAGGCTTGGGCGCTTTGAGCTGCTTTCGCTCAAGGTCAGCATGCTACCACTTGAGCCACAATGCCACTTCCCGCTTCCCACTTTATGTGGTACTGAGGAATCGAACCCAGGGCTTAATGCATGCTAGGTAAGCACTCTACCACTGAGCCACAGTCTCAGCCTTTTTAGTTACTGTTTAAAGCGGCGATGGGAATTGAATCCGACACGGCAGGTAAAGCGCTGTGCGACGGAACGTTATCCTCGGCTCCACGGCGCACTCTGTTCGCGTCAGTATTGTTGCGCAAACCTTACGCGCCACGGAAGTGAGGGGGCGGTGTTGGAAACTGGCGAGCGATTGGATTGGTTGTTCAGTCACTGTATGCTAATGAGCATAAAATTTGATATGACGGCAAAATCTGAGTTGCTCGAAATTCTTTGCAAATTATGAAAACAAAAGATATTCTGTAGGACACTCTGCTCTATACTCACCTGGGGGCGGAGATATTAATTTATGAATAACTCACCGTAAGCAAAATATGTGTTGATTTTTCTGACCCGGGAAGGACGGACCACTTTCCGTTAAGACTATACTTTCAGGGATCATTTCTATAGTTCGTTACTAGAGAAATCTCACTGATCGTGTAGAGCACCCGAAACCACGAGGAAGAGGCGTAGTGTTCTCTCCTGAGCGTGAAGCCGGCACTAGGTGTTGCTTTAATGCAACTGCCTTTTGCCATTGATGATCGTTCTTCCCTTCCTTTGGGAAAGGTTAGAGGGAGAGAACGCAGTCTGAGTGGTTTTCGGCTTCTTAAAGTTGGTTTAAGAAAAGCTCACGTGTATTCAGGCTTTTTTAAGTGCTAGTAGTTTCTTGTTCAATGCTTTGGCGCTTTCGATATCCTTTTGGTGCAGTGTTTATTGTGGGACTAAATACTGGCGCAAGGCAGTTTTTTTAAGGGTAGAATCTTTGTTTTTGTTTTTCTGCTAGTGGACGAAGACGAAGCTTTATTGTCCTGGTTGCCTCTGAAATTTTTCATAGCTCAATTTTTCTTCACTCATCTTTTATCTTCAAGACTGCCTGTTATTTGAGATGAGAAGCTGGTGGGAAACTTTGTAATACTCTAGTTTTGTTGTTAATGCTCTTTGTTTGTGTTGGTCGGTCCCTGAGGTTTACACTCAGGCGTTTGGGTGTTGTCCTTGGCTTTTGGCTCAAAGCTAACTCTCTGCCATTTCGAGCCACAGTGCCAGTTTGGGTTTTCTAGTGGTATTAGAAGTAAGTCTTGGAAGCTAGACTGCCCCCAACTGTCTTTGAACTGTCAGCCTCAGATCTCAGCTTTCTGAGTTAGGATTATTAGGTGTGAGACACTGGTATTTGGCTTCTGTAAGATTTATCTCCAATTAACTACCAAAAAAAAAAAAAAAAAACAAACCAAAAAACTGACATAGAGCTGTGGCTCAAATGGTAGAAAGCAGGTCTTGAGTACAAAAGCACCCTGGCCCTGAGTTTAAGCCCCACCTGAATCATGATCCTCAGATCTCAGGCTCCTAAATAAGATTCCAGGCTTGAGCCACCAGTGCCCTGCTGTAACTATCTTATTCCTATTTGGTCTTCTCTATTTTCTAAATTTTTTATTTTATTTTATTCAGTCTTGAGGTTTGTGGGCACTGTCCCTGACTCCCCTTGGTGATTGTGGGCACTGTCCTGACTCCTTTTGCTCAAGTTACCACTTGAGCACAGCACCACTTCTGGCTTTTTCTGTTTAGGTGGTACTTACTGAGGAATCAAACCCAGGGCTTCATGCATGCTAGGCAAGCACTCTACCACTAAGCCACATTCCCAGTCCATTGGACTGTAAACTTCTAGAGGCAGGGTCTGTGTCATTCATCACCAGCAACCCTTAGCTGCCAGTGCTCGATGGGGGCTTGGTAAGGAAAGTAGGCCCATAGAACAGCCGGAAAGGAAATAAGAGAGGCCTGGAAAGAAAACTAGTTTGATCCAGAGCCCTGGAGGGGCAGAGGGAGGGAACTAGTACAGAAATCATGATTTAAAAGGGGTAAGGGGAAATTTTGCCACTAAGCCACATTTCCAGCCCCTAAACCAGTTTAAACTATGCTTGCTGTAAGTTGCAATGTTCTATAGGAAAACCCTGATCTCTTGAGTTGTTGTGAAGGAGCTGAGAATGGCAGTTGTGTCTTGTTGAGACTTCATGGTTTCAAGTATGTTTACAAATGTTAAAGGTGGACATGGCAGGAAAGATAGTTGATTTCCAATCCCCTCCATTGTAGGAAGGCTTTTGACTGTGCTGCCAACTCTTCACTGAGCACAGCTCGTATGGGTGTGTCTGTCTTGGTGACAGGGGTGTTCATGTGCTGTCATGAGAGGAGCTTGAGTGGGGTTCTGATACTGGGTTGGTCCTATTTCCTAAACAGCACAGCATTTTCATTGTGTTGGGGATTGTAAGTAATCTAGAGGTGACTTAAAATATAACGGCAGCCAGGTGCTGGTGGCTCACACCTGTAATCCTAGCTATTCAGGAGGCTGAGATCTCGGGATCACAGTTCAAAGCCAGCCCAGGAAGGAAAGTCCATGAGACTCTTACCTCCAATAAACTACTCAGAAAACCAGAAGTGGGACTGTGGCTCAAGTGGTAGAGCACTAGCCTTGAGCTGAAAAGCTGAGGGACAGCTCCCAGGCCCAGAGTTCAAGCCCCATGACAGGGAAGGAAGGCAGGCAGGCAGGTAAGCCTGAACTTGGGCTGGGAATGTGGCTTCCTTGTAGAGTGCTTGCCTAGCATGCTTGAAGCCCTAGGTTTGATTCCTGAGTACCACATAAACAGAAAAAGCCAGAAGTGGTGCCATGGTTCAAGTGGTAGAATGTCAGCCTTGAGCAAAAGATTAGGGAGAGTGCCCTGAATTCAAGCCCCAGGACTGGCCAAAAAAAAAAAAAAAAAATCACAAAAAACAAACAGAAAAGTTCATTGTATTCGCTTTGTCATAAACTTGCTGCCCTGAGAGGTTCTATAGTAGTTACCAGAAGCCCTTGGATAGTAGAGCTTCCCTCTGATTGGGTTAGCCTGAGTCACATGGCCATCTTGGCTTGCTGTTATGGGGAAGTGAGGGCCGCTCCACTCTCTCCAAGTGCTCAGAGCTCCATGTTTGGTTGCGGGAGGCAGGCATATGCATTTTCTCACGGAAATGGGGTGGCTGAACAGTGTTTGCACCAGCACCAGACTAACCCCACTGGCAGTTTTCTCTTCCTGAAACACACAAAACTTGTGTGAGTCTTTTTTTTTTTGGTCGGTCGTGGGGCTTGAACTCTGGGCCTGGGCGCTGTCCCTCAGCTCTTCAGCTCAAGGCTAGCGCTCTACTGCTTGAGCTACAGCCCCACTTCCGGTTTTCTGGTGATTTATTGGAGATAGGAGTTTCACAGTCTTTCCTGCTCGGGCTGGCTTTGAACCTTGATCCTCAGATCTCAGCCTCCTGAGTAGCTAGGATTACAGGCGTGAGCCACCAGTGCCCGGCTTGTGTGAGTCTTAAGACCTCTGTTCTCCATGCATGTTCCTGTTTTGAACTCTCTGGCCTCAGATCTCTTTTAGTGGCTTCTTCTCACCCTCAGACCTCAAAAATATCACGGCCTTTCCTTCCTATGGACAATCACTGTCTTTGATTTTCTCCACAGTGCATATGACTTTCTGAATTTGTCCTGTTTACTTGCTAATTATCTTCATTTCCCAGCCAGAACCTCATATCACCAAGGACTTCTTCTTTATCAAGGATACATCCCTAGCATGAAGCACAGGGTTTGTATTTCTTTGACACAAAGTAAATATGTGTTCAAAGAATGAAAGAATAAAGGATTCAAAGTATCAGCTCATTCACTGATGTGGCAGTAGTCTATCTTTTAGACTTGTCTCCAGTAATTCCTACGTTTTACAGATGACCTGCTTAAGAACAAAAATAAGGCCAAGTGTCCATGGCCTGTAATACTAACTACTCAGGAGGCTTAGATCTGAGGATTGCAGTTCGCAGACAGCCCAAGCAGAAAAGTCTCTGTAAGACTTTTTTTTTTGGTTGGGTCGTGGGGCCTGAACTCTGGGCCTGGGCGCTGTCCCTCAGCTCTTCAGCTCAAGGCAAGCACTCTACCACTTGAGCCACAGCGCCACTTCTGGCTTTTTTCTTATGTGGTGCTGAGGAACCGAACCCAGGGCCTCAGGCATGCAAGGCAAGCGCTCTACCAATGAGCCACCTTCCCAGCCCCCTCTCTGTAAGACTCTTATCTCCAATTAATCACTCAAAAACTGGAAGTGGTGCTGTGGCTCAAAGTGATAGAGCACTAGCCTTGAGCAAAAGAGCTCAGGTGCAACACCAGGCCCTGAATTCAAGCCCCATGACTGACAAAAAATTAAAAAAATCAGAATATATTCAAGGTTATCTTTGTAATCTCAAGTCTTCCAATTTATTCACAAGAGAAAGACAGAAGAGTAGAATTGCGTTTGGGTATTTTGAAGTAAGTGTAATTTATCCCACCCCAACCTATAAGACCTCTTACTTCGGTGTGCTTCAGAATTCCTTGAAAGAGCTTGTGAACTGGGCTGGGAATATGGTTTAGTGGTAGAGTGCTTGCCTAGCATGCATGAAGCCCTGGGTTTGATTCCTCAGTACCACATAAACAGAAAAAACAAGAAGTGGCGCTGTGGCTCAAGTGGCAGAGCACTAGCCTTGAGCAAAAGAAGCACAGGGACAGTGCCCAGGCCCTGAGTTCAAGCCCCAGGACTAACTAGGAAAAAAAAATAGATAGATAGATAGATAGATAGATAGATAGATAGATAGATAGATAGATAGATAGATAGAAAAAGAAAAAAAAAGTCTGTGAACTCCCCTTTGTTTCTGAAAGAAGTCTAGCCTGGGGGGGGGGGGGGGGTTCCCTGAACTTGCATTTCCAGTAAGTGTCCCAGATACTGCTACTCCTGATGTGTGTGTGTGTGTGTGTGTGTGTGTGTGTGTGTGTGTGTGTATGTAATCTTACTTTAGAGCAGAAGCCACAATCGGAATCAATAACATGTCAAAGCATGAAGTGCTTTACTTCTCTGAAACATTGTCATCTTTTGCTAAAAACCATGTATATCTCTGTGTCTTCTAAATCAAAACATCTGTCTCTAGTGCTGCCACAGATCAAAGACCGAGGATGACTGCCGCCATCATGAGGGAGCATGTCCATGTAAGAGGATAGTGCTAAAGTCAGTCCTGTGTACCTGTCTCCAACTGACCAACTTATTTCCATCCCTGTTAAGAATGGAAAGCAAGGGACTGGGAAGGTGGCTCAGTGGTAGAGCGCTTGCCTTGCATGCCTGAGGCCCTGGGTTCGATTCCTCAGCACCACATAAGCAAAAAGAAAAAAGCCAGAAGTGGCGCTGTGGCTCAAGTGGTAGAGCGCTAGCCTTGAGCTGAAGAGCTGAGGGACAGCGCCCAGGCCCAGAGTTCAGGCCCCACGACCGGACCCAAAAAGAAAAAAGAAAAAAAAAAAAAAAAAGAATGGAAAGCAAGTGCTAATTTACCACTAAGCCATAGCCCATACCCCTATAGTAGCTTCTTAATGGGCTCTTTTGGAGTTATTGCATGAAACCAGACTGGTGGTTTCATTTTTCCTTTTGCCAAGAGTGGGGCTTGAACTCAGAAAGGGCCTCATGGTCTTGCTTAGCTTTTTCTATGCAAGACTAGAGGGCTTTACACTTTAGCTACATATCCTCTTCTGGCATTTTGTTGATTAGTTGGAGAGCTCTTGTAGCTGGCTTCAAACCAGA